TTCAACAGCATTCAGCATGAAAATGAAAATAAGATCCGGATTTTCAACTCCAGTGTGAAGTCAGTGCCACTTACTGTACGGATCAGAGACTTGGCACTGCGTTACGAAGGGCACTTTGAACAAACTACAGACCTTCAGCAAAGAGCTGTCTTCGATCAGTACTCAAAATCAGATGGCCAGCCAGAAACGATCAGCAACAGGGATCTCTGAGAGCGAACCAACCAGCCAGGAACCGATTTTGCGACAAATATGCAGGAGTAAATGAAGGTGGATTGGTCATACTGTGCGTCGGTGGTACAGTGGTTAGGACTCTCGCCGACCATGCACATGGTCCGGGGTTCGATCCTCTGCCGACGCACACCCGATATCTATGGTCGGCCTGTAAATTTGGGCTACCAATATCCATGCTGAAAATTTCCTGCTTGTACTGAAAATACGGTGTGGCACCAAGCCGTAATCAAAATAAAATAAAATAAATAAAAAATAATAAATTAAACCATCAAGTGACATCACACGCCAGGCCATCTCTTGAGTGGAGCATGAATGGAAGGAGGTGAGTTAGTTGGTCGTCAGTGCGAGGGTGACATGGAAGAGGTCATGTGAAGATGAGATGAGAGCATGTGGACAGACTTGGAGCCAGGTGAAAACGTTGGCGGAGAACCGAACGTAATGGAGACGTGTGGCTATTAGAGGAAACAGTAATAATAATAAATCACTCTTAAAATAAACTGTTTTGATTGGTTACATAGAAGACGAATTTGACCAGTAAGGATGTGCTCTTGCATCTAACGACTATCTATTGCTATAAAATGCTGATTTTAATTTCAGACTCTTCGTGTAAACTGACTATAGTGGTTCAAAACGTCATCCATACATTTGACATTTTATTTGGGCCTTTAGAGTTTGACTACTATTTATAATAAATAAGTAACATAAGTGTTCTCGTAAAATTTTATTCTTTGTTGTTATTTCTTTTTCAAGTAATAGACGTTTCTGCATAAATCTTCTTCTCCTCTGCACCAACATTAGGCAAGGGACACATAACACATGTTACGCTGTAGTGACTAATCAAGGGTACAGTATACTGTGCAGCAGTTTACTTCCTCCGAATTTTGTGTCTTTTAGATGTAGGCGTTGAAGGTAGAACATCTACTAGGGCTTACAGATACATGAACACTGTTTACTTTATCTAACTAATCATGTCCATTAGTCTTATTATAATGCATATCTAGATGTATACTCTATTATAAGAGTTGAATTATTTGGGGTGACCCAGGAGTGTGGTATGCACCCCCCCCCCGTGTCGTCTGTGTAAGAAGACAAGTCAGTGAGAAATACGTGAGCAGGTATTTGGACGTAGCACTTCAATAAATAGATCTCACTATTAAATTCAGGAGTATTGCAAAAAGTCTGGAAGGAGGGAAAGGTGCCTACTGACTGGAGAAAAGGTTACCTGGTGAAACTACCAAAGAAGGGAGACTTAGGACTCTGCAAGAACTGGCGAGGAATCATGCTCCTGTCGACGCCAAGTAAAATTCTGAGTCGCATCATCCTGGAGAGAATAAAGGACACACCGGATACAGTACTCCGACCAGAACAAGCTGGATTCAGGAAAGGCAAATCATGTTCTGATCAAATTGCAACTCTACGCATCATCATCGAACAAAGCACGGAATGGCAATCAAACCTCTACCTCAACTTTATAGACTTTGAGAAGGCTTTCGACAGCGTTGACCGCGAAGTAATTTGGAAACTACTCGAGTACTACGGCGTACCCCAAATATTCATCAACCTTATTCAACAGCTGTACGACAACGACACATGTCAAGTGATCCACAACGGAAAACTCAATGAGGCGTTTGGAGTGAACACAAGAGTCAGACAAGGTTGCTTATTATCACCAATGATATTCCTAACTGTGGTGGACTGGATTATGCGTCAGAGAGTTGGAAACGAGAAGACAGGGATATCCTGGACCGACGTGATTTACGTTTGATGTCACACAAAATCGAAGACTTACAAGCGAAAACCGAAAAACTGGTCGAAGAAGCAGCAAAGACAGGACTCCAGGTGAACATAGACAAGACGGAGGTTATGAAAATAACCAACCAACAACAACAACAGCAGCAGCAACATACAGCGCCAATCACGATCAACGGGAGGGATTTGAAAGAGGTTACTTCATTCACTTATCTAGGGAGCCTTGTCTCAACTACAAGAGGAACCAACAAGGATGTCAAATCAAGAATCGGGAAGGCGAGAAACACATTCATCAACCTGAAACCAATCTGGAAATCTTCGTCACTCAGCCTGCATCAACAACAAAATTCGGATTTTCAATACAAACGTCAAGTCAGTCAGTTCTTCTATACGGATGGATCAGAAACTTGGCGGGTCACCAAGAATATTTCCAACAGCCTGTTGCAGGCCTTTGTCAACAACAACGTCTTCGCTCTATACTGAAGATCAGATGGCCGGAAAGAATCACCAACAAGAAACTATGGGAACAAACAAAACAAGAACCATTCGCCCAACAAATATGCTGGAGAAAGTGGAGATGGATTGGATACTCGCTGAGGAGGCCATTGTGTGACATCGTGCGTCAGGCCAATGCTCGAGTGGAACCCGAGAGGGAAGCGGCGAGTGGGACATCCAAGGGTGACATGGAAGAGATCGTGTGAAGAGGAGTTGAAACAGTATGGACTAACATGGATGTAAGTGAAAAGTACAGCAGAAGACAGAAGCAAGTGGAGACGTGCAGTTGAAGCCCTATGTTACACTAGGAACCCAAGGGAACAATAATAATATAGTAATAATTTAATTCAGGAGGGTAAAACAAAATTCAAACATTAGTCCTTAAAGAATTATATGGTCATATGGCTGAAAATCAGTAACAACGGTGTAGATGTACTCCTTATATTCTGTCTACATAGTTTTGGTTTTATTAAGATTTTATGCTGTAATAATCCTCCTTCTTATTCACGACTCAAACCAACAGTTAAAATTTTAGGAATAAGTACCATAATATTTCGATTTTGTGGCATTTCATTTTCTTTATTCATTTCATTTGGATGTCGAAAATCTATTGCAAACCTTCAATAACGACTACCCAACACATTGACTTCACTCTGGAAGTTGAATCTGATTCAATCCTTCATTTCCTCGATGTCCAGCTGCGAAGAAACACTGAAAACTCTCTGAGAAGATCCATGTACAAAAAGTCCATATGGAATGGATAGTTCATCGACTTTCAAAGTTGTGTGCCTCCGAGCAGAAAGAGAAACTTCATATGTTATGTTTTCTCGAGGATCCGAAAAATATGTACTGAGAAATCAGTTAACAAAGAATTGCGAAATCTCCGAGGGACCTTGACAGAAGATGGTTTCCCACACATATTCATAGATAAAAATCGAAAATTGAAGAAAACATCTGAAAATCCCCCACCTCCCCCCAAAGAAGATGCTGATACTCAATCTCAAATTTAAAAGTAATATCGAAGCAGAACTTTTCCTTGAATGGCTTTCGAAATCTCTCAGAAAAACATGTTTAGCCGCCAGCCTACTGGTGACATTTTCTTGAAAGAAACTATTCAACCAGTATGCGGAAGACAAGCTGTCTCACTGGGCTACTTCAGCATGCATATACCAGTTCACTTGCTCGCGCGGGGCCTAGTTCATTGGCCGCACTATTCGTCCGCTTGTAAACCACGATCGGGAACATTATCCAGTATGGTTAGCAAACGTAGAAGGCAGGGTGTATACAGTTTGGTAACAAAACACCCTCTGAATTCAGGACATTCAGCTCCATTTGAATGAAAAGTCCTTCAAAGTCATATACAAGATTAAATCAAATGTTTATATCAAAGGGAGGGAAATCAAGGCATCTAGCTGGGAATAGCTGGGGCTCTAGTGATCCAAAAATTCAAGCAGACGCTGTGTATTCAAAAAAATACGCCCAACCGTTGTCCTTACCATGGCCATCATAAAACGTCAGTCCTATCAAATGAAGGCTACCCTATTACCTTTCTTATTCAATCTTCCTGTTTTGTTTGTTATATTTGCGTTTTATTTTGAAAATCCCTATTCGCATTAGGATGTTTTTTATCTGAACTTCCCGGCCAATTTTGTTATTACTACACTTTTAATCCCTAGTTGCACAAACAGTCAATTTCCTCAGTAGTTATGTTCCTGCTGTTTCTTTCTGTTAGATCTTCCTGTTTAATACACTTTGTAGTTTCATTAATTTGACCTTTGACCTACCGGAAATAGTTCTGGAATTCTCTCACCCATTTACTATATACGTATTTGAATGTACGACCTAGTTGATGACTTCGTTAAAAAACTAAATTTCTTCTCTACAACCGCGTCTTTTTGATTATTCATTTTTTCTAATTTGTGTAACATTACATAACACTGAACAGTATTTCGTGGACACAGCTGACTGACTGAATTTTAAATGTAGAACCTGCCTCGAAAGTCCAGAAATTCAAGTGGACCCACTATATCGTTAATTGGCAGAAAATAGAATTCATGGGCTGGCCATTGGATCGGGTCCCATTGGTTTAGTGATCTACGAGTTCGCCTTGTAACCAGAAGGCACTGGGTTCAAACCCTGGCATTGGGGTCGGTGCGAACTGATGAAGAGTCCCAAACTAGGCTGACGAAGCAGCTGTCAAGTACTCCCGGGCTTTCCAGTCGTTCTCCAACCAATCAAACAAAATCCCTACTAACCAAACCTAAAAAATATCTATGTATCATTGCGATTGTACAGCTAAGTGAATGAATTCGCTGCCGAAAAGAGAGTCTTTACACTGAACTACATGTTTTATTTTCATTGTATTTCTGTCTTTACTCCAACTTTATGTGGTGGACTTTATAAAGATTGTGGCTACGTAGAACTCCTGTACTTCTATGCAAAACCCTACTGTTAAAACCCAGTTCTTTTTATACGTACACAGAAAACTCATACTCGATAGGAACATAACTTTATTGATCATTGGTGGAAAAATTAAATAAATAAATGGATAAATAAATTGTTTACGTCTCTTTTTATGTCAAATGTTATCATACTACTGTAATAATTAAGTAGTGTATAGTCATATGACAATTTTTTCAGAAAATGCAATACATGCATTGCAAACTACTTTCAGCGGGTTTTCTCAAAGTGCTGATGAAATCGGTGTCACTCGATACATCATTATCCCTGATGGATTGACAATTATCGTGAAATTTTCTGTCCTTTTCACTTCTTCCACTTTCTTGCCAGTAAATACATCGACCAGCTGAAATTTATCACCCACTATTTTATATAATGTTGACTTGAATTCATCAAGATTAACGCGAAGATGAATTGGTCCTCCACCGTCGTCTAAATTGAGACAGGCGATTGCCCAACCTACTGGATCACTGTCCAACTGTCTTATCCAGTACTATAAAAAATAGAGAGAAAAAAAAGGAGTTATTGAAAAGAAAATAACAAAATCATCTCTGAGCATAATTCATTCTTTCCTGTTTGACCTCAGATGGACATGTCAGCTTCTTTCTTGTGTAGATGCTTCTATGATGTCTGATTATTTAGCTCGAAGTAAACTGGTCGATGGTGGCTAAGAGTGGAATCCAGGATAAAGTGTATTTCACCCTCCTATTTAGGATAGGTTTGTCACCTGGATGTACCTGCATTCCCCAGTAAGTCAGTGATGGTGTCCCCCTCCCAATGAGATTGAAACTGAGTACCCATAGTTTATTAACTAGACCAATTGGGCAACGGGGGCCACCTCTTGTGCTGCACAACGGGTATCAGTGATTATTGAATTCAGTTGGGACATCCATCCAACGAGTTCAAAATTGGAGGGTGAAATGCGCCTTATATGAATTCGCTAGATGTCACTCTTAGACGTGATTGCAGTTTAGGATTGACACACCAAGTGAGGCAGAAACCGAAAAACCAAGAAAATCAATTTATAGAGCTTTTTAATGCCAGGAATTGGCATTGTGAATAATCAATGTCCTAAATTGCACTCAAAATCGCCTCTTCGATGCAAAACACAACTGAATGAAAAGTTATTAAAGCGATTTGCTCATAATTAAATCAAATCCCATCAGACATATGTGTCAGAACTAGAGAGAAGCGCTTCTCAAGGACTTGATGCAGTTGATGAACTTCCTCAGAACTTGAAGGATTTATTTATTCACCGTGTGAATAAATGAAGTAATGAAAAGAAGAGCAAACAAGAAAAGGATTTTATGTAACTAAAAGTCTGGATACACAAACAACTGAAATTAATTTTCCATCCGACTACAACCGGTATGTTTTCAGTTTTCCCGCTACATGCTTAGATAAGACACAACTAGAAGCTTTATCTCTTGCTCTAAAATTTTGTTACAGACGCAGTCAGGTTAATCATTTAAGGGATTTAATCATGAGCTGACATCGGTTAAAGAACCATTGAAAAACCAGCTGGGAGTACTGGACAGATATTTCTTCCTAGTTGGGGACTCTTCGTCAGCACGCACTTACCCCACTGCCAGGATTTCGAACCCAGGGGCTTCTGGTTATAAGGCGAACCAGTGGGACCCGACTTTTCAATGGCCAGCCCACAAATTCCAACTTCTTCCAATTCACAACATAGCGCCACTGGCACTAGCAAATGTCATTGATGGTGAGTATTTGTCCTCACACCCGACCTAATAGTGAAATCCTCTAACCAATCAATCAAATCCCTACAAACCAATACTTGAAAATCAATGAGATGCTCACTAGCGTCTGCTTCTCTTCAGGTAGGTAGTTACCTGAGGTTCTAGTGGGAAGTCGTGGCCAGCAGGTTGCAGTAGGTTGGATGTGAGGACAAATACTCGCCAACGATGACACCGACTAGCGGTCGCACTGTGTCGCGAATTGTCAGAAGTTGGAATTCATGGGCTGGCCATTGGATTTATGGGTCCCAGTGGCTTAATGGTCTACGTGCTCGCTAGCCTTGTAACCAGAAGGTCCTGGGTTCGAGCCCTGGCAGTGGGACGGGTGCGTGCTGATAAAGAGTCCCAAACTAAGCTGACGAAACATCTGTCCAGTACTCCCAGGTATTCCAATGGTGGTTCAACATTGAATTAAATGTTGATGAAAGATTTCAGTGGATATTCTTCTATCATACTTGACTGTAATACAGTGTATGTCATTCTATGATTCTATCGTTTTCAATTTATTAGAGTATAAATCTATTTACAGTAATTGTGAACTATGTGCGACCAACTGTCAAAAGTTTCTTCAGTCTCTCAGAAATTTCATTCATTCATAATGAAGGAATTCTGACGAATCCATGTTAAAAGAATGGTTACTGAACAGAGAATATTCTTTTCGATAACCTGCTCTTCATTATCAGGTTCTACAGTTATACATACACCTAATAGTGAATGAATTAGTGTTATGAACAACAACATTAATGTTGTTTAAATAACTTCGAATCAATCACAATAACATTAATGGATTACAGTTCAACAGCATCAACATAACAATACACACTTAATATGAAAGAAATTAGGAAAGGTAATAATACAAATTCATAAATTTATAGTCTCTACTGAAGACCGACCAGGGCAGTAGTAGTGACTGGAATCGCTTCTTCTGCACACAGAGCACCGACTGTTCACGACAAATCACAATACCCGGTGAACTACGTGTTTTGTTTTCATTAATTCGGCCTACACCACATTCTACGAATCAATCCAATTTAATTAAAAAATATACTTCAGTGTGGAGCGTAGACACAATTCCGATGCCTTTATAATTTCATCTGGATTTTAAGCACAAAGAATACCGAGTTCGTTGTCAGAAGGCAGTAAGCTATAAATAATGCTCAAAGAATCTTGAATGGGAATCTTCGTGAGCAGTGAATAAACATCAAAACTCGTCACTATTTCAGTATAAGTCGTGTTGATTTTTCTCTTGAATTCATATGAATTCTTCACTCAATACTCCACTGTCACTTCATATGGATTTAGCATGAGTAAAATACCTTTGGAGAGCTTGCAGGCTGAAGAACTCGCACAATCCACAACTTAATGTAAGGAAACATCTTGTTTGTGTATTCTCGGTAATCCATAAAATCTACACGGACTGTAGCTTTTTGGAGCCAAAGTAAAACAAAGTGATACACCAAGTTTCTTATATCAGTTTCGCTGAGATTTTACGAATATGATTTTTAAATATTATCTACTTCTCACTCAGAGCCCATTTATTTCAGAACTATTTGGTCATATATTGATCACAGTTCACATGAGATATGTTCCTTATAAGTCATTTTTCTGGTGAATCATTTCATTTCATATTAGTTTGTTTATTAGATATATCACAAAGTCAGTGAAACAGTACCATAAACTGGATGATGACGTTTTGAACGCAATTGATTACTGTTCCAAACCATATCACACAACTTTGAAACTTGAGTTTTATAGTTTTCTTTATTCCTCCCTATTCGTCGTACGGTTGGTAGAATTTTCAAGATGTCTGGGTGGACAGGTGCAAAGCCGTAACCACTAAAGTACAGCAGGTTGAAAATGAAGCAGTAACTCATTGCGAAATGGTCGCGCTATGTCGTGCGTGAATTGGCAGAAGTTAGAATTCATGGGCCATTGGATCGGATCCCAGTGACTCAATGGTCTACGAGCTCGCCTTGGAACCAGAAGGTCCTGGGTTCGAACCCCACTGTGATGGGTACGTACTGATGAAGAGTCCCAAACTAGGACGAAACCGATGTCCAGTACTCTCTGGTGGCTTTCCAGTGGTTCTCTAACTGATGTCAGCTCATGATGGAATCCTCCATCCAATCAAACAAAATCCCTACAAAACCAATACTTGAAAACTCTGATGTCTAGTTTATTGAGTGCTCTTCTGTTATCGTCTGACATCTCTGCTCTATATGAAATGACTGATGGAGTGAGTGGTTGATTGTCTTAAATGCCACCCTATAATTCCAGCGTCATTGAGAATCCTACGTAAGGCCTCTAACATTCCTTTTTTATACAGCTTTGAACTCTATATTATTCTCATCATTTTTATTGCTAATCTTAGTTTTTCCATGGTTCTTCATACATTTCAGATTAAATTCTGATGGGTAGTTAGTTATTCAATAGTCATACTTCCTTTATTTGTTTGATTTCATTATCTAAATCTTCTGGTCCAACTAGTTAGGTAAGCTGTTGACCCAATTGTGCAGACATTCGACAAAAGTATAAAACGTGGGCACTATGGTAGAGAATAACTCCATTATGGATAAGATTTCATTTTGATAAATCACACAGTGTTGTACAGTAGTATTAAGTGATGGCGTTTCGAGCACACACTATTGTAATGACTGTGAGTGAGGTCAATTACATAGGTCGAACTAGTAGGTCGGGGGTAGTCAGATTGTCAGAACATAAGAATTTAGCTAAAGGGAAAATGATTGACCCTGAAAAGATAAGTAATTTAGAAAAAAGCTCAGCAATTGCACTGCATGCATTAACACACACACAATAGGGTGGGAGAGAATTAAAATTCTAAAAAGTAGTCTAGGTAGGTGGAGAGAGAGATTGATTACTGAATCCTGGTTCATTGAGTTTACACCTAATACATGCAACAGAAATGACTCAATGGAAATGGCAGAGATACGGAAGATATTATTACCACCAGTCAGTCAAATCAGAGGAGGATAATAAATAAACTTAAAGTTCTATTTCAATTCAGGCACATCACAACATTCCAAAAAGTTACTTATTTTGACTATAAAAACACTCGTCTTATTTCCCATCTGATTGTAATTGATCAATAACACTCATATTGTTATTTCTGAATGTACATTATCCCATATTGAATTTTATTCCAATATCTAATCGATTCCACACATGTATATAAATGAAGGAAAGAAGTTGTGTGAGTAACTTGATATGATTATAAGCAATAGTTTGTGCTCGAAACGTTGTCATCAGTTAATATTACTGTATAACACTGTGATTTATCAAAATAAAATCTTATCCATAGTAGAGTTATACAGACATTTCACTAAAGCTATCTTGACCGATCTTGGTTGGATAGGATGAATCAAACAAAGTCTAAGTATTCTGCATTAAAGTGTATCGATTTCCTATAAACGCCAGTTGATTTTCATAAGAAAAACCTACTCTGAAGTGATGTTGTCTAGAAGGAGCAGGGGGACATCGGAAGCTTCTCAATTAAATCAATAAAAATGGCAAGTACGCTGTAATACAAAAACAAAACAAAAAAAGAAAATAAACTCACTTGTACTTCTCTATGTGATTTAATAAATTCTGCTTGATGTCCACCTTTATCTTGATCGATAGCTAGCAAATTTGCATTGGTCAACAATGCTACACTCACATCATCCAACTGATCCATATCCGCGGAGATAAGCAGTGGAGCAGCGAACATACACCACATACCCATTTGTACACGTTTTTGATCATTGGACAGACCAAAATTACCCAACAGCAACATATCAGGATCATTCCAATGGCCTGGACCAGCTATCCTGGGTAACAGATTATTGCTGATCACATAAGCATTTATAATGCCAACAACTGATGCCCAACTGTCTTGTACATCACCCAGCATTCTCCATAAATTACAATTTTTCTGTAATCGTTTCCAATCAATTAGCTTAGGATTTTTAATCCATTCTATGTAGGCAGGATAACTACATGAGAACACCATACGTCTACCAGTGGAATTCATAAGTTTTGCAAATTTTTCATAACCATCTGGCATCTCAGCTGGTGGACTATAACATCCATCCATTTTGACATAATCTGTTTTCCAGTCAAGTAAACTCTTTGCATCGACTTCTAAGTAATGCATACTTCCTGGATATTGTTGACACGTCAGTGTTCCATAATCAAGATATATACCGAATAAGAGATTTTTAGAATGGATATATTCGGAAAGACTTTTAATACCCTGGAAACATGCAAAAAGAGAAAAGAAATAAATGGAATTAGATAGAAAATAAATTTTTTCTTCTTTGAATTGACTGATATGTAGGTTGATGAAAACAACAAAACAAAAAACAACACGTAGTTCAGCAAAGTTTCTTTTCGGCGGTAAATTCATTCACTTATCTAGCTCCAGGCCAAAGTTGTAGACAACAATTTACGTCAATGTTCACGTCCTAAATCAGAGTCATGAGAAAAACCAAAACAAAGCTTTTTTTCATTCCTTCACGTTCCCCAGTGGAACATAGGGCTTCAAGCTAGAGGCCTGAAGTTTCTGTAGCAGTGTTTATTTTTACAGGATGGGGTTGCTAGCTTAACCTTGAGAAAATCACCAGTCAATTGCATACCGCTTTGAACGTTGACATCTTGAACGCATATTGCAGCTAGGGGGTATCCTGTGGCCATGTCCGTCCTAGGGTCGACTTTTCAAACGTCACGATGCACTTCAAGTGGATTGATGGAGTGCCTGTCGGCGTCTATATGCGTATATCAACGCAGGCTGCTGCTCAGAGACTCCGTCGTAATTTGTCTGTCCATAGCGTAGTCTGGGGTAGAACTTCTGATTAAGTAACCACGATAGGTTGTATTGGAGTCGTGGCTTTAATCATGCGTCGATGGTTCAGAGGTAGAACTCTTGCTAACCACACCACACGTAGTCCGGGATTCGATCCCCAACCGAGGCACTCCTAAATCTCACTATGCTAGTAGTAAGGCCTGTAAAGAGAGAAAGTTTGACGCTATGAGGCTTGCATCTGCCTACCGTAAAAATGGAACCGCTGCTATCGAAACTTCAAAGCTCTAGCTTGAAGGTCAATGTTCCACTGGAAAGGTGAAAGAATAAAAAAACAAAAATAACAATGGATCAATATTAACTCAAAAACTGCTGCTTAACAAAGGGGATTGAATAATGGGTCATTTCGAGAAGTGAATAATTAGAATTCACGAACTCATGGAGAGTTGAGTTTTTTTCTAATTTGCCATTAATTAATTTCATTATAGCGAAATGCTTGATCTCCGCTGATATGTCCGTTACTAAATACAGCCGCTTCCACGTGTGGATACTGATCAGAATTATTGATCGTTAAAGAATAAACTGTCAAACGACCTTGGGCCAAAGAATAAGATCTCTCGACATTACAAATGGATGAATGCTTTTCATAATCTTCATCCTGATTCAGGGTGAAACTTGCAATGAAGATTACGTAAAGCATCCATTCATGTGTAATGCTGAGCGACCTGATTGGCCAGCTCAAGGTCACTTGACTATTCTTTATTGTTACCTAACAAATCACACATTACACTGAAATTAGAGCTAGAGATGCTGTCTAGAAGGTTAGTAAGGGTTTTGAGAATGAACTACTCAATTTAGAGAACACCAAATACATCCATATACCTGAGTCATAAATCTTCGCTCATTATTACACCCGAAAAAAAACTGTTAAAACACGTAGATAGTTAGTTAACACGACTTCAAATGACTCACAACCGATAGCCACTGCTTGAATCTTGCCATACTAAGCAGTTTACTAATAATGCAGTAGAAGTGATAATAGATCCTTTGAAGTGAATACAGGAGAAAAATAAGGCTGCCTGGCTGACTATTATCACGGGTGATGATGTTCCTGGGCTGGATTATGCGGCAGACCATGTGTCAGGAGCGAGAAGACAGGAACACGTTGGACCACCGATGAGAAGACTCGAGGAGCTCTGGATTTCACGGATGATGATTTATGTTTAATGTCACTTAAACTCGAAGACTTGCAGACGAAAACTAAGAAACTGGCAAAAGAAACAGGAAGTGAATTCAGGACTCCAAATGAACATAGAGATGACAGAGGTGATGAAGAAAACCAACCAATCTACAACAAAATCTATCACCTATCAACATCGATGAGGGAAATCTGAAATAGGTCACTTCTTTCACTTATCTGGATAGACGGCATCATCATTTCAACTGCAGGTGGCAGCACGGCTGAATATATCAAAGCCAGATTCAATTTGAACATCTTCAACACTCACTCAGCTTAAACAACAAGATTCGAACTTTCAACACAAATGAGGAGTCAGTCAGTCACTTCTTCTATATGGGTCAGAAACTTGGCGTGCGTACCACGAAAAGCATTTCCAACAGGCCACTGCAAACTTTTACCAACAGATGACCCACCCTTTAAATGGCTCCATGTTAAAGATCAAATAGCTGGCCGGCCAGGAAGAATTATTAACAAGAAGCTATGGGAATCAAATAATCAAGAACCTATTGCTGAACAAATATGTAGGAGAAAATGGAGATGGAGTGGACACACGCCACTGAGGAGATCGTTGAATGACATCGCCCTGAATGTGGGCCATCGCTTTAGTAGAACTCGAATGGGTAACGACGAATTGAGCATTGGTCTGAGGGTGATATGGAGGTCGTTTGGACAGGGGGTGAGAGATCATGGGCAATCGTGGAACCACCTAAAGAGGACCGCTGGGAATAGAACCAAGTGGAGTCGTGCTTTTGAAGCCCTTCTGAAGCAATAACCACAACTCTCCGATAAGGTTAAATCATGCCGGTGCAGTTGCTGTCACGCAATTCAGGCTATCCATACACATCATTAAGACACTGAGAACAGAAGGCTTCTCATAGGGTTTTATTCCATTTCACCTATAATTATTATCCCAATTGTGATAAAACGGAAACCAACTTACATTAGGAAATCTTTTTGGATCTGCAACAATCTGATTGGATTTTGGATCACGTTCTTTTGACTGCCAACAGTCATCAATTATGAGATATCGATAGCCTAATTGTAACCATCCATCAGAGGCAAGCTTATCAGCTGTACGCTGAATTAATTTTTCACTGATACAATCATTTGGATATTCCTGGCAATCGATTTGACATCTAAATCTTTGCCATGACATCCATCCCATTGGTGGTGTTCTTGCCAATCCATTGTCCAGAGTCCAGCTCCCAGTGATAGAAATAATAATTTGAAAATATAACATGAACATTTTGACAGCTGAAGAACAGAAATAAACATACATGGTATTTAGGTTTAATATTTAGGTTTGTTACATAATAATTGGCTAACATGAATGCTACATTTACTGGCTTACTGTTTCTACCTCTTACACAGGGAAATATTCGTTACAACAGTGAAAACATAGTGAAATATATATATCACGAAAAACATCCATTTATTCATAAGTAAAAACACAGTTTCTTTTGTTCAGCGAAGAAATTTCTTCTCGACGACTTCATTTTCAAGATGTACAGTCGTATTTACCTTAAAGAAAAAGGTTATTAAGTGGCACTAAATAATTGCTCTGTCAATATACATATATAAGTGATAAGAATAACGATAATTAAAGTGTTACAAGGGGTAGAGCTGAAGTGGATGAATTACAAAATTACTAAAGATTGTTTTATAAGTGAATTGATATCAAAAATATTTTCTTTAAAAATGTCAAGCGTTGTCTAAAAATTATAAAAATTAGGAGTACGATTACGATAAGAATAAAGATGTGAAGTGAAGTGGAATGAATTCAAGTGGTAAAATAAAATAAAATAAAAACTAGAAAGAACATTACTATGACTAAGTTGAAGAAAGGGGTTTGACAAAACGTTTTTGAACACATAATTTAGGTTTCTGTTCATGTATAACTAAAGCTTCAGCTTTGCATAAGTGAAAAAACGTAAACTTTTGGAGCGATTCAATTTTACCATGTAGATAACCTTGAAAGATGAATCACGTGGGGCTAAATGACCAGACTCTAACAGGTGATCACAAATAGACGACTTCGCAGTTCTACGTTCGCTTTTCATTAACCAGACTGGATAGTGTTCAGCTACACGTTTTCGGAGATTACGCTTACAACGTCCAATATAAACAGCTCCACAAGAGCAGGTAAAAGAGTAAATACACATAGATGTGGACAAAAGCGGTAATCTATCCTTGACGCATTGTCTAATCATATTACGGCTGGTAAAAACTAGTTGCAAGTCAGCTGCAGGAAAAGTACGTTTAATACATATAGATAGACGATTTTTAATCAATTCCGAAATGGTGTCACCTTTGAATACAAGACTCATAAACAGTTTTTTTCTATGGCACTGTGATTTGTCTGGGGGCGTGTTCTTTCTTGATGTTACGTTCGATAAACCTTGTAGGATAACCATTGTTAAGGAGATTTGATCGAAGCTTATCTAGTTCACTATCGATTGTCTCTGCAGAGCAGATTTTACGAATTCTGGAGCATAAGGAATGAATAAGAATTCTCTTTCTCTCTAAAGGTACCCACCTGTTGAAATTAGTGTACTGCCCAGTGAATGTTGGCTTTCGGTAAATCAACCTTAACAGCGTTATATTCTCTCTTCTATCTAGCTTAATGTCAAGGAAGCGTAACGGTGAATTTGACTCTTCTTTGACTGTGAAAAGCAAAGATGGGTTAGAACCATCAAATATTCGAAGAAGTTCGGCAGTTGAAGAGTTTTCCTCACATACAATGAAGGTATCATCTATATATCTTTTATACATAAACAAACTATCGATGGTTTCCTTTAGTGGGCTATTCTCTAAGCTTGCCATGAAGACGTCGGCTAAGAGCGGTCCTAAAGGAGACCCCATGGCGACTCCATCCCTTTGATTGCAGATGACTTCATTAAATCTAAATTGCCCATCCAGTGTGCATCTCAATAATAGTTGTTTAAGATATTCAGTTGGTAAGCCGATTTTCTTGCTATTTAAATCAATATACTCGCATAGATAGCAGATAGTGTCTACTAGTGGTACATTTGTGAACAAAAACACTGTGTTTTTACTTATATATATATACCATTCTATTGTAAAATGGCTGGCAGATATTCTGGAACCTGTAAGGAAACAATTATGTACGCACTCGCTCCACGACACTTTCCAGTTCGTTGACTGTATGCAAGACCTGAATGTACCTAACAAAGTTATGCTGTCTTTCGACAATGAGTTTATTTTCAGCAGTGTCGCACTCACAGAAACTGTCTGATTTATATGTAAACATGTAGATAAGAACCATCTCAACACTGAAATACCAATAGTATATTTGGTTCAGAGATGTGCTCTGAACGTACAGTTCACTTTCAACGACACCATCTATAGACAAAAAGATGGTATTGCAATGGGATCTCCGTTGGGTCCACTACTATCAGACTCCTTCGTGACAAGCCTCGAGAAAGGTCCTCTAAAGACGAGCATTGACAAGTTACGACTGTATAAAAGATACGTGAATGACATATTCATTATTTGTGACAACAGTAATGACCACAATCTACTGCTGCAGACATTTTACTATTGCCATCCAGCAATAAAATTCACTCTTGAAATGCATACCAACGAATCCAAAATTCCCTTTCTTGATGTGGAGCTAACAAGAAGAACTGGTGGAACCTTAAGAAGGTCAGTCCACATAAAACAAACTTGGAACGGTCAACTAACAAGCCTCTGTAGCTTGGTACCCATTCAACAAAAGCGGAGTTTAATTGAATCCTTTGCCACCCGCAAACGACGCATCTGTAGTTCCGATGTTCTGAAAGCAGAATTAGATCTTTTGAGAGAAATATTCATCAAAAATGGATACCCACCAAGATTCATCGATAAAAGTATCAAACTAAGAATTTGGAGAAACGAAAATTCACTTGCGCCGAAAAAGAAACTCTACATGAACTTGAATTTCAAGGGAGATTTAACAAGCGATATTCCCAAGAGAAGGATCGCATCATCTCTGAGAAGAACATTCTTTGCAGCAAACGCCAAGCATAATGTTCTCCAATCGCCCGCTGACCTGCAGAAGACTTAAGGACAAGATTTCGCATCTGACCGCTAGTGTGTGCATATATCAGTTCACCTGCTGCTGTGAAGCCAGGTACATCGGTCTTTCGACGAGCATCCTGTTCAAGAGGTTTCAAGAACACTATCCAGCATTCTTGAGAAAAGGCAATAGTGGTGCCATAAAGAGTGCGATAATTGAACACCTGGTTAACACTGATCATTCCATCTCAACAAACGCCTCCTGCTTCAAAGTAATCTACAGAGTCAAGAATAACCTACCAAAGGCAGTACGGTTTCTTCTTCTTTGTATTTCTGAACCTCTGGCCATTTACATAGAAAAACCGGAGCTGTGCATACAAAAAAGAGAATTACTCAACCACTTCTACTATCATGGTAACAACTTTGTTGGTTTTTGATGATTTAATTTTGTTTGCTTGCTTGTTTCTTTAATTGCTTATAGTTCTAGAATTCAATTAGAACTCTCACGTTATTTCCTATTCTCTAATTTGTTTCTATGTGCATCCTGAGTACAACTCAGTCATCATCAAACTATTCATATTATTACCTTTGTTAATGCCCTAGCTTCATTAACACCCATTTTTCGTGACCATTTTTGTATTAAGTAACTCCATCAAAAGCTTACTTATTCTCACCCACCCCCCGTTTGGTTAAAATAACCATAACCAATTGTAGTTTTGTTAGACAAACTTAATGTACACATGCATGCAAACAACCCATATATCTTTGCGACTGTACATCTAAGTGAGGAAAATGAATTCGTCGCCGAAAAGAGACTCTTCGCTGAACTACAATACTTTATCAAGGTGAAGATTCAAAGCAGTATACATACAAGGAAAAAATAGGAGTGCATCCGGCAACACCTTGAGTTCAGATGAGCTTCTCTCTCAGTGTTCATCCTATCTTTAATATCAAATCCATAAGTTTACGCTAATATTTACAATATTAATAATATTATTGTTCCCTTGGGTTCCTAGTGGAACATAAGGCTTCAACTACACGTCTCCACTTGCTTCTGTCTTCTGCTGTACTTTTCACCTGCATCCATGTTAGTCCATACTGTTTCAACTCCTCTTCACACGATCTCCTTCATGTCACCCTTGGACGTGCCACTCGCCGCTTCCCTTTCGGTTTCCACTTGAGAGCCTGACGCGCGATGTCACCCAGTGGCCTCATCAGCGAGTGTCCAGTCCTTCTCAACTTTCTCCTGCATATTTGTTGGGCGATTGGTTCTTGTTTTGTTTGCTCCCATAGCTTCTTGTTGGTGGAAGGATTGGATACATTTGGTGATTTCATTATGAGCTAACATCTGTTAGAGAACCATTGGAAAACCAGCACTCAGGTACTTGACAGCTGTTTCGCAAGTATAGTTTGAGACTCTTCATCAGTATGCATCTAGCCCATTGCCACGGTTCGAACGCATGGCCCTCCGCTTAGAAGACGAGCTTAGCGCATAGACCATTAAGCCACTGCGACCCGACTCCTCATTGGGTACCTTATGAATTCCAGCTCCTGCCAATTCACGATTTGCAGCGCGACCAAAACACTAGCCAATGTCATCACTGTCGAATACTTGTCCTCACACCCAACTTTTTGGGGAACCTCAGTGGTTATGACTTCCCACAAGAACCAAGGTAACCACCACCTACATGAATAGGGCCAGTCAATCTCTAGTGAGCATCAAACTGATGTTGAAACGTCAGTTTGCAGAGATTTGATTAGTTACAGGATTGCATCATTGACTGAATAAAATGAAAACCTGGCTTACTGGACAACTGTTTCGTCATAACAAGGGACTCTTCAGAAGTGCTTAACCATCACAGTGGGGTTCGAACCCAGGATATTCTGGTTACAAGGATAGAAAGCTCGTTGACCATTGAGCCACTGGGACAGGATCCAATGGCTCATGAATTCTAACTTCTGCCAATTCACAACCAGTAGGTTGAAGATGAGGCAGTAACTCATCGTGGAAGACATTGCAAAATGGTCACGCTATGTCGTGAATTGGCAGAAGTTAGAATTCATGGGCTGGCCATTGGATCAGGTTCCATTGGCTCAATGGTCTACGAGCTCTCTAGCCTTGTAACCAGAAGGTCCTGGTTCAAACTAATGAAGAGTCCCAAATTAGGACGAAACAGCTGTCCAGTACTCCCTGGTTTTCAATGGTCCTCTAACTGATATCAATCCGTAATCAACTCGTAAAAACAAAAGTAACCCATACAAACCAAACTATAGAAAATATCAAAGATGGAATTTTTAATAGTACTACTATTGATCGAAACCTGAATAACTGATCCAATGTTTAAATGATATTTTCATGGGTATCAAATTGGGCGAAGTAGATAACAACCTTTGAACTGATCAACAAATTTACATATTTTGACAAAAGTGATTTTAAGGGCATGAAGCTGAAAAAATGAGTATAGTGACCAGTTGATGTAGGTTTTCTATGCACACTTCTTCTTATTGTGACATCCATCATCTTTTCTGGTCATAAGGACGTCTAGAAATGAAATACTAGGGTATTTTCTTTCTCGCTGGTAAAATTTATTGCAATATGAACATCGATAAATTTATCCAGGCAGAATGTTCTTTGCTTCATCCTCAGTTTTCATAATTAAAAATGTATCATCCATGTACCGACAATAGAATTCAGGTTCATCAGTTACATTTTTCAAAGGACCATTCTCTAGTCTCACAAGGAAAATGTCGGCTAGAATGGGTCCTATTGGTGACCCTATTGCCACACCATAGATTTGTCTATATAGTTCCTTATTGAATAAAAAGTGAACAGTCGTTGCGCATTTCAAGAGAAGCTCTTTTATAAAAAGGTATAGGAATGTCGAGATTTTCGATTTTTCGTCTTATGAGTTCTTTGCATACAAAGTCTACTGTTTTCGTAAGTGGTACATTGGTGAATAAGGAGGATACGTCCAGTGAAAAATGAGGATAAAGCAAAGAACATCCCGGTCTGGACAAATTTAACGACGTGCATACTGCAATAAATTTTACCAGCGAGAAAGAATAGGATCCTAGTATTTCATTTCTGGACGTCCTTATGACCAGGAAAGAGGATGGCACAATAAGAAGAAGTGTATATAGAAAATCGATTTTTTAAAAAATCCAATAAAAAACGAAGACAAATAACACTTGGGTACTTTGGTTGTATTGTGACGTCAGATCCTGACGAGATTTATCAGTAGCATATTAAGAGATGTTCGTCGAGGCAAAAACCATCATAAAGTGGAGAGATAAACGTGACATCAAAGAGGGGAAATGAACCAGTGCATTGAGCCAAAACATGGGAGACATGAAAATCGACTTTTCAAGTACTGGTTTTGTAGGGATTTTGCTTGATTGCATGGAGGATTTCATCATGAGCTGACATCAGTTAGAGAACCACTGGAAAACCACACCTGGGAGTACTGGACAGCTGTTTCGTCCCTGTTTGTGACTCCTCATCAGTACGCATCCACTGAGGTTCGTACTCAGGACCATCTGGTTACGAGGCCAGCTAGTTCGTTGACCATTGAGCCACTGGGAGCTTATCCAGTGGCCAGCCCATGAATTCTAACTTCTGCCAGTTCACGACATAACGTGCCCATTTCGTAATGTCTTCCTCGATGAGTTACTGCCTCATCTTCCACCTGCTGTACCCTACTGGTCACGGCTTCCCACTAGAACCCCAGGTCAACTGCCTGAATGGGGCCAGTCACTAGTGAGCATCAGATTAATTTTCAAGTATTGGTTTTGTAGGGATTTTGTTTGATTGCATATGTCGTGAATTGGCAGAAGTTAGAATCCAAGGACCATTGGATCGGGTCCCAGTGGCTCAATGGTCTACAAGCTCGCCTTGTAACCAGAAGGTTCTGGGTTCGAATCCCGGTGGGTGCGTACTGATGAAGAGTCCCAAACTGGGACGAAACAGCTGTCCAGTACTCCCTGCTGGTTTTCCAGTGGTTCTCTAACTTATATCAGCTCAGGATGAAACCCTCCATGCAATCAGACATGAAAAGAAGACAGAGAAACACAATACGAAGGGCCCAATTGGCACAACACGGAAGATCTGTGCAACACATGACGATTTTTTCTTATAACGTGTACAAAACTTCCCTGTACAGAGATATTGAATTCTAAATAAATATTTCGTTGCTAAGTCACTTGTCTTCTGCCGTTATAGTATGTAACTGTAAACTGATTTGTTTATTGAATATATCCCACAGTGTCGAAAAATATTATTTTATGGGATGGCGAATTTGCGAACATAACTTATCGTAACTTCAAAACTTGATTTTCCTAGTAATCTTTCTTTCTCCTCGTTTGTTGTATGGGGATAGTCGAATTTCCGAAATGTCTGGGTGAGGTGTTGAATCATTCCTGTTGCACAAGTTCCAAGTTGATTCGATAATAAAACAGTGGTCAATCTCTCCCGCTGTGGTGAGAGCTGGCTGCTAGCCAAAGTTGGCAGATAGTAATTGACGTCAATGTTTATGTCCCCAATATTGGTGGTGAGAAAATGAGAAGAAAGGCTTTGCGTAGGCGGATACAGTTAGCATATGGATGATCCGACACAGCCACAAAGAGATGCAAGGTTAACTTTCTATGAGAAACGACCAATCAAAAGAGTGTATTTTATACTAACAATAATCTACAATAATGTACATTAAAATCGATAAACATGTGTTGATTTTCCTTAATAAACGATCTGTTGCCTGGCCCTTGTCTTCTTTTGTTGCACCATCACTCTGTTATATATGATTTTAATACCATCATTTTCTCATCCTATTGTATAGTTGTACGTGACTGTGTGTTATGCTATTATAGCTGACAGCACAGTAAAGAATCGAGTTAAAAAGTTTGCATTATCGTTAGATAGTTGGAGGCAATAGGAAAGAAGCTATTTCTGACCTAGGTTTCGTACTAGTCGGTACTCACCAGTCAGTCAGCGAGGCGTATCTGCAACCAGCTCGAAAGAACTCATGTCCCTTCTAAAATACGAACCCATGTCGGCACTCAGTACTGCAATCAGAGATATAACTATTGAGATATTCGGGTTCGCAATTGATCTCCTGTAGGACTTACTCGATTGGATACTTTGACTGGACACTAGTTAGTAACTAGTGTGATCTGTCAAGTCCTTTGTTCGGTGCAAACTGAATTCTATCAGTAGTCAGGTCTACAATGTGGCCACTATGCCACTGGGTGTCTCACCATCACAATGCACTACACTGTTCAGTAGTAACGTCTCTGAGTGCAGCATTGGATGGTGACGCAGGTTCGTATCTCAGAAGGAATACAAGTTCCTTCGGGTTTGCAGGTACACCTTACTGACTGGCTGGTAAGCGCCAACTAACACGACACCTAGGTGGAAGGCTTCCTGACGATTGCCTCCAACCATCTAATATCAACAATTCATAGTGCAGTGCAACCTAATAACAAGTCACCTAGAATGGTCGTGGTTACATTGTAAACTTGACTGATAGAATTCAATCTGCACTGTAGATAGGACGACTAGATGCATCACACTAGTTACTAGCTAGTGTCCAATCAAAGTAAAGTTTGCAATGATAAGTAAGTAATGTTTCAATGGATTTCTACAGATTCGAACATGGAGAAAGTCAAGAGAGTTTAGTTAGAGATGCAAGTTACTTATTAGTGAGCGCTGAGACCAACAAAAGATTTTCCAACCGGCTGTTGTAAAATTTCATCATCAATGCTCACTCCCGCTGGAAACTGAAAGTCAAATGACTAACAGGCGACGAACTACCCAACAAACGTAATAAGTGGATTGGATATACTTAGCGGAGACCTTAAAACCCTGAAGTGATAGCCAAACGGGAAGCGATGATTTAGACGGCCGGTGAGTGACATGGTAAAGATCATATGAGGAAGAAAGAATAGCCTGAGAACAGTTGAAAACTGAAACAAAATTGAGGTCCCCAAGCTCAGAACTGAAGGCATAAATGCTAATAATTACGAGCAAGGTTAGATATAATGATTGTTAGACTTGGTGAATACAGACAATTTTCAAAATATACATCAGACGCTAGAATGAGATATAATCACTGGTAAACTTGATGATTTACGATTGGATTACTCAACCGAATAAAGTTGCTCATTACTAAAGAGTTGAAGGGTGAGAAGAATAGATCGATACTCGCTGCTGTTAGTGATATCTGTGCCATAGTATACGTTAATAATAATAATGATAATAATATTCACAAATAGTTAAATACGAAGTCACTTACATGTCATATTATTTAAAATTACAAATTAGTCTGGTTAGACTGCGAATAGTTCGAAAGAATTCAAACCATATATATATATATATATTGATTTTAAATTTCAAAATAAATTACATTTGACCAATTATTTAAGGCATGTTTTATCGAAACTGGTCCTTTGGTATGGTCATTTCAATAATAGTTATTATTATTATTACGGTTGTAACTTGTTAACATTAGGTCATCACATGCTGTCACATATCGTTTTTAAACAAATAAGGTCGTCTAGAACCGATCAATACTTATATAAGTAAGTAGCAGTTAAGTTTGGTGATGGTGATTGAATATACAAAATGCTTACTGTATATATATATATCAACTTGTCTAGATAACACAGGTATTTGTGTTACTATATCAACGACTTGTTTTTCATGAATAAAGTCGCTCATCATGATGAGTGACAAAATATTGAATATCGCTCGCAGGCAATATGTGGTAGATGAACTGCCAGAAGATCTTAGAACGCCTTTTATGGAATACGTTTCTCAAGTTTCTTAGTGAACGAAGAGCACAGAAGAAGCAGATAGAGCTTATGAAAGGACTTGAAAGAAAGCCAAAGGCTGACAAATTTCCGGCAGCTCCTAAAAAGTACGTCTACAATTATAGTAGTGTTGAATTAAATAAGACGCAACTTGAAGTACTTTCCCTTGGCCTTCGATTTTGTGATAGACCGAAACGAGTTAATCACTTAGATACTGATATTGAATTCGAAGACCTATTTGGTCAAACAAGGGATCTAGTTCCATCATCCACCTTGGAAATGGAACGCTTCAAATCCAGTCTAGTGGATTGTTGTTATCAGTACAAAAACCCCAAATGAGACAGTAAACGTTTCTTGACAAAGGAGCACAGAGAAGAACTAAAAAAACTGATAAATGAGGAGAGACTGATAATCATAAAGCCGGATAAAGGGTCAGGAGTAATCCCACTTGATACAAGTGACTATACTGAAAAGATGAATGATATATTGAAGGACACATAAAAGTTTCAAAAACTTGAGGAGAAGAAAGATTTCAATAACAAAATAGAGAATGAATTAACCAGACGTTTGAAGAAACTAAGGGAGGAGCAGATAATTTCTGAAAGTTTATATAAAGAAATCAAACCAACGGGCACGTATACGCCAAGATTGTATGGCCTACCTAAAGTGCTTAAACCGGGGGTACTGTTAAGACCAATACTTGATATGCAAAATTCGCTCTACCATGCTCTAGCTAGATGGTTAGTAAATATTCTCAAACCTTTGCATGAGAAGATAGTGAAATGTAGCGTCAAAGATGTATTTGAATTCATAGACAAAATCAAAGATATTAATATCAAGGACAAAACCATGATATCTCTGGACATAACATCTTTATTCACAAATGTACCTCTAGTAGAAACAGTTAACCTACATATGTGAACAAGTGGATAACCAGTCGATAAACATTGGCATCCATACTGAAATCCTAAAAGAATTGTTATTAAGATGTACCATGAATGTAAACTTCAAATTTGACGGCACGCTTTACAGGCAAGTGGACGGGGTGGCGATGGGCTCCCCATTGGGTCCCATTCTGGCTGATTTCTTTCTAAGTAAGCTAGAAAATGGACCTTTGAACAACCTTATCAGTAAGCTCTCATTTTATTGCCGATATATGGATGACACCTTCATTCTTTGTGATAATGGTTCTGATAGGAGTACAATAATTACTGAATTCAATGAAGTACATTCGGCTATGAAATTCACATGCGAAGAGGAATCCCAAGACAGAATTGCCTTCCTGGATGTCCTACTTACAAGAAAACCAGATGGTAGCATAAAAAGAAATTTGCATAGAAAAAGTACTTGGACAGGACAATATACACATTTTCACAGCTTCGTTCCTATCAAGTACAAAAGAAATTTAGTGAAGACCCTCAGCCACAGAGTTAGAGCTATATGCTCAGAAGAAGTAATTGAAGATGAATTAAGCATTGTATATGATACTTTGATCGAAAATAGCTATCCCGAAAAATTTATCAAGAAACACATGACAAAGAAAGCGGAAAAGGACTACTCACTATCTGTAAACAAGAAGCCACTTTATATACGACTGCAATTCAAGGGCGATATACCAAGTGAGATAATTACGAGGAAATTAAGAAAATCAATTCAAAGAACTTTTAATGCTGGTGAACTACACGTATTATTCTCTACACGACCGATGGTGATTCCTCGACTGAAAGATGAAGTACCTAGACTAGCCACTTCAAATTGTATCTACCAATTCAACTGCGCTTGTGGAGCGAGTTATATTGGCCGTTGCTCTAGGAACTTGATTTTTCGTGCTCACTCGAGAACATCTCCCACTATGGCTAAGTAAAGGTGTAGTGAAAACCATTAACAGTTCGATATTGGACCATCTGGTGCAAACCGGCCACAAAGCCAGCCGGATTGAAGAATCCTTCTCTATAATCTACCGGGTGCCTAATAAATTGCCAAAATCATCGAAGCACCGCATGCTCCAAACAGCAGAGGCTATTGCAATTCGCTTCAAACAACCAGTGCTCTGTGTTCAAAAGAAGCAAGTCCAGCCCCTACTACTGCCCTGGCTGAGCTTCAGTAGAGACTATAAATTCATGAATTTGTAATATTATCTTTCCTAATTTTTCTGACATTCAGCTTATTTTATGTTGATGCTATTGAGCTGTAATCTATCAATATTATTGATTTGATGTTATTTGAACACTAATGTTGTTCATAACACTAATTCATTCATTCACTATAATGTATATATAACTGTAGAGCCTGATGATGAAGTTATCGAAAAGAGTACTCTTTGTTCAGTATCCATTCTTTTGAAAAATTGAAGCATACAATTGACGAAACAACTTCCTATTGTCGATATGTCGATGACACATTTGTAGTGTGCAACAATGATGAAAGTCATGCTTCCTAGCTACTCAGATTATTATTATTCAACGACGCACATGCGAATACTTAATTTACTATGGAACATGAAAATGATGGATAGTTCCATTTCCTTGACATTGCCATACAACGCCAAGAAGATGGTAGTCTCCAGAGGTCAATTTGCCGAAATCTGACATGGAATGGACAATACCTACATTTTAATAGTTTTGTCTATATGGCTAGCTATACATGAGCACTAGGCAAGACTCTGTACTAAAGAACCAGGAGAATATGCTCTGCAGACAAACTAGTTGAAGAATTTACAATTCTCGAAAAGGTGTTGAAAAACAACGGTTATCCTCAAAGGTTCATTAACAAATATGGAAGATGTGATGGCTCAAACATCAAACAAATCACAGCTGAAAAAAGCATGTCTTCGTTCAACTAGATTTTAAAGGTGAAAACATTGCAGCAATGGTCAACAGAAGACTGAGTATGTCACTAGCGACAGCCTATCCTGCAGCTAAGTTGGCTCTCGTCCATCGAACAATATGCTCTTTGGTGCAATCAAAAGTTGACAGATATCCATCTCATGTTAACTCCAACTCTAAATACAAATTTACGTGTATCTGCGTGAGCAATTACATTGGGAGAACAGAAATTAGGGCACACATGTGATTTTCTGAACATGTGCCGAAAAGCCTACGTCTCAAGGGAACGAACTCTTATGATAGCGCTATTACCAGACATTTCCTCGATACAGGTCATGAGGTGGAAATCGCGAAATCCTTTAAAATTATCAATAGACAAGCGAGCTCGATTCCCCTCAAGTTTGCTGAAGCAATTTCTACCAAACGCTTGAAACCAGATTTATGTGTTCAGAAAGAAGCAGTTAGCATCAGTCTATCCTTGCCCTGCCTGGTAACTGGTTGTCTTTATTCCCTCTTTCATTTCACTACGTAATATTTGGTCTTAACCTCATCCCCTTGATAAAGTGCAATTTTGCTTGTCTTTTGTTTCAATGATTTGAGTTGGACTCAGTACATTGTTACCTAATTTATTAATCACTCAGCATCTTACACATCTATCGTCTTTATTACGTAACTCCTCTATCATCACATGCATACATTTCCTTTTGCAATTAACAGTGTTCTCTGAGCTGATTGGTTTAGTTGCAAAGCTTTCGTCGTCCCCCTTATGGACAACATCTTCAGCGCCATATTTAGCACAAAGTGAAATGATTTAAATTTCTTCATGAGTGATGTAATTGCGTCTCCTGGTAACTATCTTTATTTACATATGCATTGACCATTTTCTATTGATTTGGATTTTAAACTTTTTGGTCACCTGATTTACTTTTTATTAGTTGGTATATTTCATCTATATTAACGTGTTTGTTAATTGCATTTTCGCTTGAGTACCAGGATTCTAGGAATTCTCTGGCACTTTTCGTGTTTCCTCTGTTTAAGATTTTGACATGATCCCAATCAAACTGATGACCATAATTGTCTGCATGCATTGATACTAAAGAATACATATCATGGCTTTTCACGGCTGATTTATGTTCTTGGATTCTGATTCGAAGGGGACGCCCACTTTGGCCGATGTAATGTTTGTTGCAGTTCATACAATTTATTTTGTAAATGGTATTAATTTTATCTCCTTTTTCTGTTGGATCTTTTGGTTTGCATAATATCGAATTAAGCGATTTGACTGGTTTGTGTGCTATATCTATATCTAACGGTTTCAGTATTCTAGCTGTTATTTCAGAGATATTCCTCATGTATGGTAGAATGAATTTTCTTGTGGTCTCTGATGATGGTTTTTTGTTGGTGTTTTGATTCGACTTTAAACACTTTTTGATGAAATTTTGTGGATAACCATTCTTTTTGAAGACCGTTCTCTACCTATATTAGCGACACAAGTTTACAGAAAATCAACGCACACAGATCAAATACTCAACTATACTAGCAATAATCCAGTTACTCACAAACGAAACTGTGTGCAGACATTGTTTAAAAGAGTTCAGACACATTGTAGCACTCCAGAGTTGAAAAGAATGGAAGAAAAGTACCTAAAAACGGTCTTCAAAAAGAATGGTTATCCACAAAATTTCATCAAAAAGTGTTTAAAGTCGAATCAAAAC